TTCCCACGTTGGGAACCATCAGTTCCAACCTTTAGGAATTGGAAGTTCTTTGCAATGGTAACCTACGGTTCCCAGGTTGGGAAGCATGAGTTCCAACCTCTGGGAACCGGCAGTTGCTTGCAATGGTAACCTCTGGTTCCCACGTGGGGAACCATCAGTTCCAACCTCTGGGAACCGGCAGTTCCTTGCAATAGTAACCTGTGGTTCTCACGTTGGCAACAGTGAGTTCCAACCTTTGGGAACCGGCAGTTCCTTGCCATGAACCAAACGCAAACATTCCGGTACCGGTCCATTGAGCAAAACAACATGTTCTGTACCGGTCCATTAAGCAAAACCATAAAATTGTAAAGAAACTGTTTTCATATCATTTTAACATGCACCTTTTTCGTGCACAAAAAACATTTTTATTCCGGCCGAGCAGCCGAACGCAAACATTCCGCTACCGGTCCATTAAGCAAAACAAAAGGTTCCGTTACCGGCTCGGTAAACAAAACAAAACAACATTAAGAACCATGAGTTCTAACTTTTTGGAATCAACAGATCCTTCCACTGGTAACAGATGCTTTTTCAGGTTTGGAGCCATGAGTTTCAAACTTTGGGGACCCGCAGTTCCTTACAACGAAAGCCGCTTAGCTTCGAAAACATAAATTCTAACGTCTGGGAACCGGCAATTCCTTGCAATGGTAACCTCTGGTTCCTAGGTTGGGAACCGTAAGTTTCAAGGTCTGGGAACCGGCAGTTCCTTGCCGTGGTAACCTTTGGTTCCCACGTTGGGAACCATCAGTTCCAACCTTTTCTATCTGGGGTCTATGCCGGTGTAATTTTGTTTAAGGGACCGGCAAAGAACGCTTTGTTTTGCATAATGGACCGGTACCAGAATGTTTGCGTTTGGTTCATGGCAAGGAACTGCCGGTTCCCAAAGGTTGGAACTCACGATTGCCAACGTGGGAACCACAGGTTACCATTGCAAGGAACTGCCGGTTCCCAGTGGTTGGAACTCCTGGTTCCCAACCTGGGAACCATGGGTTACCATTGCAAGCAACTGCCGGGTACCAGAGGTTGGAACTCATGCTTCCCAACCTGGGAACCATAAGTTACCATTGCAAAGAACTTCCAGTTCCTAAAGGTTGGAACTGATGGTTCCCAACGTGGGAACCAAAGCACAGCACGCTGCACAGCACCCTGCCCAGCACCCTGCACAGCACCCTGCACAGCACCTTTCACAGCACCCTTCACAGCACCCCGCACAGCACCTTTGCGAGACTTCGCCACCGCAGTCTGGATAGCAGCGTGCACAGCACCCTGCACAACACCTTTGCAAGACTTCACCACCGCAGTCTGGACAGCACCCTGCACAGCACCCTGCACAGCACCCTGCACCGCACCCTGCACAGCACCCTGCACAGCACCCTGCACAGCACCCTGCAAAGCACCCTGCACAGTACCCTGCACAGCACCCTGCACAGCACCTTGCACAGCACCTTTGCCAGGCTTCGCCACCGCAGTCTGGGCAACACCCCGCACAGCACCCTGCACAGCACCCTGCACAGCACCCTGCACAGCACCCTGCACAGCACCTTCGCCAGACTTCGCCACCGCAGTCTGGACAGCACCCTGCACAGCACCCTGCGCAGCACCCAGCACCTTTGCCAGACTTCGCCACCGCACTAGTACAGCACCCTGCACAGCTGCCAGACTTCGCCACCACAGTCTGGACAGCACCCTGCACAGCACCGCACCCGCAGCACCCTGCACAGCACCCTGCACAGCACCTTTGCCAGACTTCGCCACCGCAGCACTCTGCACAGACAGCACCCTGCACAGCACCCTGCACAGCACCTTTGCCAGACTTCGCCACCGCAGTCTGGACAGCAAGCACCCTGCACAGCACCCTGCACAGCACCCTGACGTGGCATTGAAGAATGATGTTATACATATAATGTTATTTCATTGTAATCAAGAAACTATCTATTTTCAAACAATATTGAAATTACTCATTAAATTACATTAGTGATATTTATCAAAATAAAACATATCACTCATATTGTTTTACACAACATTGGCCATTAGAACAATGAAAAGTGAGAAAGTGGTGTTTGAATACATGCCACATGTAAGTGCAGTTATGGATAAAATAGTACTGCTGTCACCATTTTATCACAACCCCATGTTGATGTGTGAAGACACAAGAGGTGAGGTGTTGTGTAAGGTGTAACGTTTTTTTTTGCAAAAGGTTACATCTGTAAAACTCACATTTCACCAGAGCCACCCAAATGTCACACACAAATGCTTACAGTCCAAAAAAAATAATAATATGAAAAATTAGATTTTGAAAATGTTCAATTTGTTTGTGCTCCCCTGGGACCAACCATTATATAAGAAACTTGTTTTGTGGCTGTTAGTGGGGCTGGGTGGCATACAACATCTATCTATCTATCTGTTTATCCTTCCTTTTGTTTATCTATTTCTATTTTTTCTATCTATTTTTTATTTATCAAATGATTTACCTACCTATCCATATGTCTACCAGAAGGAAAAAATATGCGAGGCTTCCTTCAAAAGTGGACGTTGGCAGGTCCAAACCGAAGCAATTCTGCGAGACGTCCTCAAAAATTGAAGCTGACAGCTTCAAAACGAAAATATCTTGCGAAACTTTTCAATTTTTGTATAAAGTTGCAAAGCGAGACAATTTTGCGGGATTTCCGGGGTGCAGAGCTGACGGCCTCATACCAATGCATTTTGCCATGTTGCCACCTCATCTGTCTAAAGTATTCCGCTTGCTTTGAAAAAAGGAAGCCACGTCATACGAAGTGCCGCACCTGTCACGCAAAATCATTTTAGCAAATCTGAAGATCTGATGCTCCCAAGCGCAATCGCTCTCAGGAAATCAGCGTCGTGAGCTCCTAACATGTTTGATGGACACGTCTCTTGTATAATTATTGTGACAATGCATCTTTGCAAATCCTCTTCAAACGCCCCACGCTTCCCATCGTTTTTGAAACGTGTGACTTGCCCACACGTTTAACTCATTTTTGGCCAGGTGCGTTACGCTTGCCACACAAAGGGACAGTTCAACGTCCAAAAGTTGCCCCAACGTTGTCGTGGAAACGCTCTTCGCGCCACAGCGCCGTGCACTTTTTTCATCCCTACCCTCTTAGCCAAGGTTTTCAGGGGAGCCTGACAAAATGTAATTTACATTTTCCGGCATGTTTTTTTGACGATTATCAATTTTAATTTAAAAACTGTAAGGTGGCAAAAAAAAGGAAAAAATATAAAAGGTGAAAATGTAAGTTCCGATGCCCTATTGGGCATGGCCCCGACCAAAGTATATTAAGGGTATCCCCAGGAGTACACCACGCGCAGGTGTTTGGAGCCTCACCCAAGGCACCTTACATTTTTGGTGTGCTTGAGAACTTGGGCCATGGAAAATGTAAGTTGGTGGTCTTGAGGCCTTGTTTCATGAAAAGTGCAAGTTTTTGGAACCTCCTCCCCCGAAGGATCTTACACGCATCAAACCACACTCGGAAAAGAACACTTGCTTGGCCAGCCAAATGTGTTCAGGTACCAAAAAGAGGTGGCAAACAAAAATGCAAGTTACAATTTGTTGCCACCCCATTAATTAACAGTGGGAAACAAGGCCTCAGCACCACCAACTTAGTTTTTCCGTGGCCCATCACCCAACATGATGGCTCCCAAAACTGCGCGCAAGACCAGACCAAACAATCTAGAGCAGCACACATCTGCAAGGCACCAAGGGAACCTTAGGAGCAAAAAAGGTAAGATGAACCGGAGCAGTTTCCAACCATCTGCAATGCAATTTTCAATTGAAAACAGGACCTCAAGGTCATCAACTTACAATTTCAGCATTTTCGAGGCACTAAGGAAATCTAAGGGCCCAAGAATCTACGATCCCTTAAGGGAGGGACCGGACACCTTCCCTTTTTCACCAAAAAAAAGGCTTAAGACCACCAACTTACATCGTTCATGGCCAACCACCGAACACCACTGCCAGATTTTTTCTTAAAAATGATGACTTTCCACAAGAATTGCACCTTCAAATATGCAACTTACATTTAGGAAGGTTTTACCTTCTAAATGTAGCATTGCCATTTTCAGGCCTCTCCAAGGGCCTACCCTAAATGTAACTTACATTTTTGAAGGCACTGATGCTATGGGTTTTTGAGAAAACGTAAGTTACATTTTTGAAGGTCTTACCTACCGTATCGGCGCTTGGCGTGCTTTGATTTTCTTTCTACTGAGTCTCTCTTCTCTGTTTTTTTTCTTCTCTGATTTTCTGTGACTGTTTGCGCAACTGTTGTCAAACTTCCGTCGGTGATATCAATATCAATATGCATCAATTTATCCCAATTTCATCCACGATCTTAAGTCTTAAGTGTTCGGTTATACATGTTCAATTTTTTCCGTGTTTACGTAAGTTGATTGGAGTTACACCAGGGAAAATATTGTTGAACTAAGGAATTCAAAGCCAATTCGATCTATCTTTTGTCGTATATATTTCCTGTTTAGTTCGATTACTTTCCGTATTGGGAAATAATGGCTGTCTATTTGTCCATAGCAATTTTTCACAGATTGCCGGAATTACCATAAAACCAAACTATGGGCCAACTTTAAGTTTTTCCTGTAGTATGGAAAACTTATTAATTTCTCAGTAGGGAATTCCCGCAGCTATGGTTTTCTTAAACAACTGGACAGGCGGATAGTTATCCAATGATTATATTATGTCAGTTTTTAAAACATCGATATGTTCGTTTGTATTTCGTTTGTTGTTTTTTCCCATGATATCACCATGATATGTTCCCCTTTCTTCCCAGCCAAGGCCTTACCATAGATCCAACACAGGAAAACATGGAGGAAAAAAACTAGCGTGTGAAAAGTGTATATTCATGAAGTATTGCCCTGGTGATTTCACATGTGTTGTTTTGGCATTTGTTGTTCACAGCCCTCGCTGTTGGCAAGCCTCCAAGCGCGGGGCTTGCACCATGGAGAACAAAGTGCTTCAAAGAAGCGGTTCGATGCTTGCCCGCCAAAATATCCAGTGGTTGCCACCTCAGCACAAAAAGTGAGCGCATTTATTTTGTTGGATTTTTTTGCGCCATGAACAGTTTGTTTGTATCAGGCCAAGACCTCGGCAAAACACGGAGGCGTGATGAGAACAAAAACACGCTGTACTTCAGAAGCGTCCCTGATTCCAACACAGGTGGATGCGAAGTCCGATCTTCGTGGTGTGCACGTTCCTAAGATATCCTAAGATGCCGAAAACGATCTGTTTTTGTGCCTTTTCATCATAATTATTAGATTGCCATATTTCAACTTAGCTCCAGTTTTTTCCCAGCTGAGGCATTGGCAATTGAGCTATTTGCAGACGACCCCGGGTCAGACAGAAACAAAGGAGGCCTACATCAAACATCCGAAGTGCCCCGGATCAATTATTGGAGTTTCAATATGTTTCATTTCTCTATCCGTTTGCTGGATTGATTCATGCGAGTGCTGTGCGGAATGCAGTGTGAAATTTACGTCGGTTTTTTGTGGCAGTGTTTCTTCCAAAATTGTTTACACGATCCGCTTCACAATTTTTTCAACATGCACAGATATCATTTATTTCTTGTCATGCACGCAGTCGCTGCCCGTCGGTTTACGTTTGAATGCAGAAAATTATGGCATTGTTAGTTGGCCTTCATATGGCTGATGATGTTTCAAAAGCATCGCGAGTGGACGCAATGCGCACAAAAACCGGAAACACGTGTTTTTGTTACAGTAATGTATTTTTTCACAACAACATACTGGTTCCAGGTTCGGTATCCAATTTTTTGGATGGCAGCACGTGGAAGCATTTTGTATCCCCTTTGTGATTCGTTTACCGAGCATACTTCAATCACAGATGGATCCTGACTATGCAGTTCCATGCAATTTGTTGTTTTTGTTGATGCCGTTTGCTGTTTAGTTTCTTGTCATCATGGTGGTAAACATTGTGCTATGCAGAATTGTCACATATCCTCAGTTTGATTGTCATCAGTATGATGTAGTCTGCATATCGTTGGGTTTGTCATTGTTTGATATCCATGTTTGTTTGTCTATTTGCATAGCCATGGCGAACCTGTGGCCCATTATTTGCTTGTAGTGTTTCTCCATGACGATGGTTCGCCATGATCATGACCATCATCATCACCGCTGACGCAGTCGTTCATCGTTGTCACCATCACCAACAAGAAAATAAAAACATCATCAACATAGAAATCTGCATCAGTATCATGTTCTATCATGTTCTCAGCTCACCATTGCCATGACGGAAAAGTCAGGTTCTAGGACCACAAAGCAACCGTATCATCACTGCCAAAGGAGATCATGTTTCATGACTAACACGCCTACCAGGTATCAGCGGCGAGAAGCAGCCGCCATCTGAGAGACGTTGCCTAGATTGGTTTCCTTTTGTGGTGATATGATTTGTATGAATTGTCATCATTGTCATAAAGCATTTTGCTGAAAATTATCGTTTCTGGGTTGCAAGCTGCAAGGTCGAAAATGGCACCGGCCTTTGAACATTGCAGTTTTGTGACACTTCCCAGACTTCCCAACACCAAATGCACCAAACGCACCCAACATGTGAACATGTCTTGTTTGAAGTTCTGATTCTGATTTCTTCGTGTTCCATGTCCACTGTGGGCGAGATGGTTTGCAGGAGATGATCTGAGAGCGTCGCATATTGATTTGGCATATGGAGCGTCAAGGCAGTTGCAACTGCATTGCAACTGCATTGCAACTGCATGGACTGCACTTGGATTTTTTGCCATCCGGAGCTCACCGTAGTTTGTTCAACAAAGATCCCGATCCTTGTTCAACAAAGATCCCTTGTGATCCTCAAACTAAAACACACTTTGCAAGGTCCTGCAAGCATTGGGTGGCAGCCTTGACAGATGAAATGTCAAGGCGAGGTCTTCAGAGTTAGAATGCTATCATTGCCATGAAATGTGTTTGAAATGTCTTTTAAATTTCCTGAAATTTCTGGACATGTCTCATGTTCGCACATGAGCAGGTCATGGTTGACCTGATTGATACAGGTTTTCCATAAATAAAGGACCTTCCTCAATCCTTTGTCCAATTTCGTGTGGAACTTCAAGCTGGAGGAATGAGCATGACAAGTTCAATTGCAAGAAACCCGATGGTTGGAGTCCCAAATTGACAACTTCGAAGTCATGATCTACGCAGGTAGTTACCAGGTAGTTCTTGCAAGAGTTTGTGTACCACCAACCATGGTCCAATCATGGTCCAACCATGCAACTCAAGGTTTCGAAGCCTTGGGGACAGAGCTGCGAAAGTTTGGCACTAATTTGGCAATCTTTCGAGTGAATCCAAAGTGGGCCGGTGACTTTCTTTATACCTGGCTCAAAGGTCTCACATCAGCTTTGGGGAACGCCCTGAGCCGAGGGAAGTTGTCCAATTTCTTGATGTTTTGCATGAGATTTTGACATATTTTGACGCGCTTCAAAAGATCACCGCAGGCACCGGTATTTCAGCCCAAGGTTTTGAACCCACATGCCAGCGGCTGCCTCAGTCACCTTGTGCAGCACTTTGTGCAGTGCATATTGAACATTTTTGAACCACAAGATGTCGATAGATGTCGCAACAAAATTGATCAGGCATGGGCTTCAAAAGTAGAGCCACATCTGGCTGAGGAGCCAGCAGAAGGTCAATTTCGGGATTCCGCCCAAGGCCTTTCCGTCACAAAAGCCTAAGAGCGTTTCGGAGTATCATCACGTTTTCCGATGTGTTTTTACATGCGTGATCATGCGTGTGCTTCCTTCGGACGGAGGCCTTGTACGTTTCATATATGCGATAGCGGTGCAGATGCTCTTGAGCACAAGTGAAACGAAGTGACACCACTGCAAATGCCAATTGGTGCAGCTTTGGCCCAGAGCCACCAGTCGTGTGGCGTGTCTTAAGAAATGGAGACGAGCAAAACTGCAGTCAACGGCTCTTATGCAAATGCAGAGAAACACCGCGTATCACAACATACTGCAAAAAGTAATCATCTAATTGCTGAAGGTTGCCTTCAGGGAAAGAGGAAGTGCAAGTATGAAACAGGTCCCAGCGGTGTAAGGCAAGCAGCAATCCATTGTGTTTTATAGTTATGATGACGTGCCGCCCTTTCTCATTTGTTTTGCGTGTCAATCATAAGATATGGATTCGAAGTTGACTGGACTGAACCTTTGTGATCAAACACTGCATGTAATGTATGACTATGGCAACGACGGAAACGCACGGCAATGGCATTAGCCGCAAAACAAGCCTGTCAGAGACCCTTTGGCAACTACCAAGGCCACATCAAAAGTCACAGACGTTTTTAAGGACGCCAAGCATATGGCAGGATATATCAGGATCCTGCACGGTGTTTTTCCAAAGCACTCCTGAAGACAATGTCTTCGTTCCATCGATGTGGCTTTGCCTCTGGCAGGTCGCGTTGGCTGCGGCGCAAAATCCTTTTGCTACCCATCTTTCAGAGCCTGATTGATGGGGCTGACCTTCCTGATGGCGCGGAAGAACTTTTTGCAACTTCGATTGCATTAGATGGGCACCTACATGCACCTACAAGAAATTCAGCAGCATTTAAAAAGTGTTCGACTCTTCGACAATCACAGGCTGACCAGAGGCATCCAAAGGCAACTTATGACTTATATAATGGCATTGAAAAATATTGAAACCTTGGCATGCCTTGGTGCACAGCTAGTGACGCTGCCCCAGGTACAGCAGTTATCAATTCAGCTCAAATCATTGAAGGACATTTGCACCGGGAAATCGCATGAGATCTTGGCGACTGTCTCTTGGATCTCTTGGCAGTGTTGAATGATTTAGGATCTTGGTGGCTTGGGCCAAGTTAACTAAGTTGCTCCTGAAACATGGGGAGAACATGCTGTGGGAATGGGGCTCTCACTTGAACCCTCTCCTGAGATGATCAACGTCATGGCAATGCATCTTGGGACCGCTGATGCTGTACATGATCACTGGCCATATGGCACAGCGGATCATAAGGGCGACCGTAACCGGGGAATCGATCAATTTATGAATTCATGTCAGATTCAAAGTAATAAAGTATTTCAAAGTCATACACCGTCAACCTTGATTTGCTTTGGTAGGTGTGATCAAGCTTCGCCCTTTCACTAATCTTTGAGAATGTTTGCATTCTATGATGGTGCTTGTGAGTTTCATGTTGTTTCATGTTGTTTCATGTTGTTTCTGGTATTTTCGTTGTCTCACCTAGGCCGCTGGAGTGTTGGAGGATGAACTTCAGCTCCTATCCAGCCTTTGCGTTTCCGCGCCGCTGAGTCAGCTTGCTGTGAACGCCTATGTCGACTATGTCACGTCACTGACCGCACCATGCGGCACATGCGAGGTGCATAGTTTGATGGCCGTCTCTCTCCACGTGCGCTTGAATCTCTGGGTGAGCAATGTGTTGCTACAAGCTTCTCCAGAAGTGGGCAAAGCAACCAGAGTGGGCAGATGGCTCGAGTTCTGCTGCCTAGCTGTGGGCAGTCTGTGTTTTTCGTTAGGACGTTGCAATACGTTGCAATTTGTTGCATCCATGTTGCACCCATGTTGGACCCATGTTGGACCCATGAAACGTATGAAACTGAACTTCCAAACTTTCAGAGCAAGTTACCGTCCAAGGTTCCACACGCTATGAGAAGCTCTCGCTTCAAATAGATCAGGCGTTTGATGCTTCAGTTGCAGTTTCTCGCCTATCTTCTGCACAGCTCAGCGGAGTCAGCTTCCTGGCATAAAGATGGGCAGATGTAGGCAGCATATCGCACATTATCTATCATTGTCTCACCTCGTGTGCATTTCATTTGCCAGATTCTTTGACCGGATGCACATTGCCACAGATTTGCATAGGATGGCATAGGGCATAGGGCATAGGTGTAGGAAAAGAAGCTAAGGCGATGCATACTTGCAACTGGCGCAGCATGAACATCAGGTCTATTCACAGTTTCTTGCCTTCCCACTTCAGTAAATACGATGTCGGGTTTTGCTCTTTCTGACAGTTTGATTTTGAACGTTTCGAATCAGTTTTGAACATGTTTGAACGTTGCTTTAGGCACGTTGCTTTTGGCACATTGCTTTGACACGTTCCGCAAGGATTGCTTGTAGCCAATCAGACTCAGTGAATGCTGCGAAGACCTTACTGCAAATGGCGAAGATCATCCCACCAAGGGTGCTGATCATCGCAGGCAAGCACTATCAGTCACTATCAGTCACTATCCCCCCAAGTTTACCCCAGGGGTTTTGTTGTTCCATGTTTTTCCTATCTGTTCCTATACCCCGATCGTACAAGCACTTTATTTTCACAGCTGGTCAGTCACAGCATCTCACAGTCAGATTGCTTGATGTTCCGATCCAGTTCATGTTATTTCTATCAAATCGCCTTTCACGGCCATCTATTTTTATCCATGTCCTTTCCACCTCCAAGTCTTTCCTATCAAAATCTCTGTTTCACACCTATCCCGCCCTTCAGATGTTCCTATGCGTATTTCACACTTTGACTGTTCTGATCCAACACTACGCAGTTAAGATATTGGCACGTTTTTCCAAAGAATGATTCATGTTCCAATGTTTTTCTGATACTATTTTTGACATTTCATTCAGTCCGAGAGCTGCGTTCGCGAGCCGAGTGTTCTTCTAAGATATCCTTAAGAAACTACTTGCAAGATGCTGCACTTATAATGCATCATTGAGCTATATTAAACTCTCTGTGGTCAAGGGGTTTGCATGGTATCGTAGGGTCGAAGAGTCTTGGGATCTTTACACACAGATATCGACGATGGCGCAAGGCTCTGACAGTGGAGGTGGCGCCGGCCTGCAAGCGGATTTGAAGAGTTGCACCGTTCAGGGCGCTTTTGCAACAACTGCAGTGACAGCGGTGACGGCACAAAACACCCACGGTGTGCAGGGCATTTTTCCAATTCCTATTGACTTCCTGAAGAAGAGCCTGGGCTGAATCTGAAGAACGAATTGAATTACAGCAGGTTCAACATGGTTCAACTATGTCATACGGTTCACTGTCACCGCCGCAAGGCAAGTTGATTCTGTTCTCTCCGACATTGGCACAGACGTGGCATCATGGTAGCATGTGAAGGAAATGCATGATCTAGTGCTGTGTGTGCTGTGCATAGCGGCTGTTCATAGACCAGCAATGGGCATGGTCGCGCAGGGTGCAAGTTGTTAAATGTCTCGATTGGATGTATGCCCCACGCTCCACATGCACAAATGTTTCTGATTTTCATGACGGTTCTGATCAAGATTATCGGTGTTACAGCAGGTACCGTGGTCAGAGCGACATCACGCTCTGGGGATAAAAAGGGCTATTTGAAGAAGTGGAGTTATTCTGAAGAGGTGTTTCTTCTGTGGCCAGAGCAGATCTGTTCCCTTCGTATGACCAGTGGTGGTGGGCTGCATGCTACCCTGCTTACACATAAGGTAAAAACCGGAATGCTGGCAACGTCAGAGATTGTCAAGGCAGTTGCTGCATGCTTGAAGGCCGAATGAGATGTGATGATTGTGATGATTGTAATGAATGTATGCGTGTGTCGAAACAATCTGCGCCAGCGTTGGCTGTGTTTTATCCAGCGGCGACTTCCCAGTGGTTCGCCGTTTTTGTAGGCGTCCCAACCATTTGGATCCTGCCTCGTCGTGGACCCCGTCATGGTTTCCACCAGCGGGCACACTTTGCTGGAGGATGACGCTATTCAAAGCCTTAAGGATGAGCTGTCACTGGGCAACGTTTGAAAAGAAGCATGCAGAATAACTCCAAAGAGGCTGAGTATGGCTGAGTGGGTATAGGAAATCTGCAAGATTCTGCAGGCAACAATGGAATGATTGTGGGGGCTACTGTACCTACTGGCGAGTTGTGATGGCCATGCCGGTGGTTTGTGGCGGCAGACCAAACTGGATTGAACAGAAATGGAGTCTGCCAAGAATCAACGGCAGAGCCCCGAGGTTTCCATGCGCCACTCTCATAACGCCCAATTTGCCAGAGGCCTGGAACGTTTTTTCCCCATATATGTGACAATATGTGTCAATTGTGTTTCCGCGTTTTACGCTGATGAGCTGCCCTCAAGAAATTCACATCGCCCTTATGGGAGTGGATGATGCGTTGAGTTCTGTGCTTCACATTGAAGGCACGCTTGCTGCTGGGCGTCAAAGACATTGAAAGTGCACCGCTCCCAGTAACTCCTGTGGATGCTTGCTGGACCCTATCCCTATTGACATTTGAATTTTAGTGACATTCACAAGCATTGAATACTTGCACAGCGGTTTGTATCCAACAGTAATGTATGTAAAAAAAGGACCTGCAGTCAAGAGTTTGGACGGCATTGAGATGTTGATGAAACACGATGTGATGAAATAATGAAATCGTATGAAATGATGAACTCTATCAATCATATGATGTCAATCTATAGTATGCAGATGTTGAAGTTCTGTTGCTGGATGATGAGATCACTAAAAACTGCCTTGAGGTGTTGCTGTATACGTGGGTGGCAACGCTAAGCAAAGACATACAAAGGGCCCCACGAGAAGCAAGTAGCAAGGTGTCTAACAACATGGGTGTTGATGTTCATGCGTGTGAAATTATTTGTTAGCAAAGTTGCGTATGATATGTATAGCATACACGCACACAATTATATAGGTTTCATGTATGTATACATATATTTAGCAAAAGGGATTCACAATGAAGAGTGCCCATGTGCCCTTTCAAGATCTTTCAAGGTAGCTGCCATGGAGACAGGAGCGCGTCAGCTTGCAGCAATGGGCCCCCGCTGGGTGCTTGTGAAAGGCGGGAATCGGATTTCTGGAGTTGATCCCAGAGCCGAAGTCTTAGCTGCTATAGCTCGAATAATTTCAAAATAGCTCCAATGATTTTGAAATTGGGGAAAGTCCAACCCATGCGCAGCGCAAAATCGATAGAGACTATGTTCTAGACGCTGGAAGTGCCAATTCACATTTTCTGTTCCTTTACACGTCTACTGTAGCCCATTGGATTTGGTTATGATTTGATTTTGCTGAACAAATCCAGACTTTTCAATTCCTTTTCTCCTCTGTTTTCTCTTGCGTTTTCTTGCCCCAACTGTCTACAAACCGCTCACAGGTGGACATTTGCCTGGTATGGCACTGAGTTGGCAGAGAAATTCTACGCAAACACCTGATTGTAGGATCATGAGGATGTAGGCACATGTAGGCATCGCTCTATCGCTTTGGTGCCTATTGGCCTAATGGTATCTTTTGTTATTGATATGTTAAATGATTTTAAGTACTTGCAGAGACAGTTTGGAGTAAGGAGTTTTGATGCCGTGCTGTTTGCAAGGCTCTGACCAGGAAGTGACTGACATCCTTTGCAATGGTGAGACTGGAGAGTGTATTCAGTTCACGTCAAAGTTGGTCGCAAACACCAACCACACACATGGAACAGGATAGGGTAGCTTTGGTGGCAGGGCGGAGCACGGTGGCGGCTTCCAACCACAATCCAACTTCAAAGAAATTGTTTCCCCAAGTCATGAACTCAAAAAAACTCCGAATATTACCAACTCATTGTCAGAGGTTTGTTTAATAGAGATCAAAGAAGGTGCCAGCTTTTGTTGCCACGTGTCTTGTGCGTTTTGGTTTAATAGTTTCAGATTTCAGAGCTGTTAAAATATACACTTTCACTTTTGCGCCACTGGCTGTTGCCTTTGAAGATCTTTGAAGTATATTGAACTGTGCTGAGATTGACGCTGTAGCTACTGCTGTGGCTTCGTCTAAGCTCCAGCACGCTCGTTTGGAATGGAACCTGCAGGATGCACCCTGGCATCTTCCATTGCTGCTCATCTCGCACGAGGGCTTCAGGTTCTACAAGCTGTGAAGGACGCAGCAGAAGTCAAAGGGAGAAAGATGGAGAAAGTATAGAAAGATATAGAAAGATATAGAAAGATATAGAAAGATAAAAATATAGAAAGGGATGAAATGGGCAGGAATGCTCATATGACTGACATGGTTTGTTTTGTTCTTCAATTGCAGGCGGTCTTCATTCAAATCAATCGGGCAATTTGAACTGTGGCAGATGAGCTTTGATGTGCTTTCCACTTTTTTGAGCTGCCTAAGTTCTTACCTGCAGTCTTGCCGCAGTGCGAAGGAGGCAAAGGATTTTGTCAGCGGTGCTATTGCCAGCTCAGCTCATTTAGCATTGGGCAACGGAACTCAAGGCCCAATGAACCATAGCCACCTGCACTGCACTAGACATCGCTATACACAACAGTTGAAATCCTTTGAGAAAGTCGGCAGTGAAAATCAAAAGCTGAAATTTGTTTTGTGTTTTTGTGTTGTCAGTGTACTGGTTGTGCTGGTTTTCTTTGAGGTTGGCCTTACTTCAACTGGTGAGGAACGGTCAGAGGTCCAAAAAGAGCCGAGCGCAGCTCTCCGTGGCTACGACGAAATGCTCGTAGTGAGGAAGTGGTACGGGATGGTACAGGTATGCACACAGGGTATGCACAGTGTATGCACAGTGACAGGATGTGACAGGCATTGTCAAATGTTTTCAAGGCACGTGCGACATCATGAGACTCATTCTGACTCACTGGACTTTCAAGACTTCCATGTTTCTCATTTGTACATTTCACATCGTTTCACATTTTTTGCAATTCTTTACAAGAATCTTTACAAAAATCTTTACTTTCTATTCTTTACACATTCTTTGCATCTTTCCATAACTTTCCATAGGCACACCGTGGATGTGCTTCGCCTTTCCCGCCAGGCCGATCAGATTGCATCCTTTGCTGATACTGTTGGGAAGGCTGGGACTGGGAGGTGTCCCTGGCTTGCTATGACTTAGATGACTTAAATTAACAGATGACTGAATATATGTTATCTAAAATATATCTCAATAATATATATATATCTTAATATGACTTAGCATATGACTTAACATATGACTTAACATATGAGTTCATATGACTGGATGTAAGGGTTTGGGGTCGAATCTTGACACATGAAACATCTTGAAGCCGTTCTCAAGCAGCTTCTGTTTGACAAGTGCTGGTTGTGTTTGCGATTGGTTGGGCAGTGAGCAGTGCTTATCGTGTTTAAACTGACTTGCAACCTGTCAACCGGCTTTAACATGTTTTAACATTGATTTGGTTTGTGATCTACTGGAGTTGGTGATAAATGGTGTCAATATGCGTAAATAAAATGTATGTGTGTGTGTGTCAATCGACTTGCAGTGCTTTGGTATTGCTTTGGTATCTCCGAGTTTATCTCAGGCACTGTTTGCAATCTGTTTGCCCTGGGTTTTGCCATGCACAGGACCTCCGAGCCTCTCACATTGACATCGCCAACGGTGCAGAAAAGAGCTGTGCACATTGGAAGGCGCCGTCTGAGAAGCAGAGAGCCAGAAATGAGACGTGCAAGTCAGGCAGCCAGGCTACACCCGCAAAAGATTGATTTAGGTGCTGATGGACTCAAGTGATCCTCGCTGCAGCATGCTACAATATCCTGCTAGCTCCGAACCAGATAGTTGGCGTTGGCAGATACGATTCTCAAAGATATTAAAGCGCATTGTTTGCAAAGCAAGATTAAGCAAAATTCAGATTCTTGCAGCATCTTGCGATGCTTGAGCAAGGCTGTGCAAACCTCCGAAATGGAATTGGCCTCAGTGCAACATTCTACGCCGCTACGCTGTGTGTCCCAAGACTTGTTCCAGTGCAGGGTTAAACAGTGCACATTTCCCAGCTGCAAGACATTCGCATATTTCGCAGCTTTAGGTTTGCACAAAACACGGTTAGACTCAAGATTTGACGCTGCCATCACAACAAGTGCAATCACTAGGGAAAAACAGTGGACAAATAGTGAAAGTTTGCAAGGTTTCTTAGGACCTTGCACCGCTCCCTGGCTTACAAACAGTCCAGCATACGGAGCTTTACTGCATTGGCTAGCTATGTTGAGCTTGCTCACAAAGCAATGTTGTGACTGGCAGATTATGGCAGATACTACGCCAACTATACCATACTGTGCGCCAGATAGTTCGACATTGTGCAAAGCACTGTGACCAAAGCTGCGGGGGCCGCCCCAGCGACATGGCCCACAGGAACCTGCATCACAATGACTCTTGGCTGGAAAAGGATGAGAAACCAGAGAGCAGCTTGCAGTCACCAAGGGCAAGAGAGAGAGCGCGACCCTTAGAGAGTCAACTTAGTCAACTCATGTCAACTCGCGACCTGAGGAGAAGGTGGAAGAACTGGAGGTCCGCCATGAATGGGCTGGATTCGATCTGCTCAAAGTCGGAGGAGAAAAGCTCGTCTTTTGGAAGGAAGGAGGTCTCGTGGTGCTGTCTGGCTGCATTACCACAACGTGGCTAGCTCAGTTTCGTCAGTTTGGTGAAACCGTGGGAAACCAGTGCTGAAACTACTGACAGTGGAAAATTCTTAACAGCTTCTGGGAGCTTTTTCAGGTCTCCTATGAAGCAAAAGTCTGACTTTGACATCACGGTTGCCAAGGTGGAGTTGAGCGATAGACACAGATAGACACGGTAATACTTCCAGTTCAGTTGGGAATTGCTACTAATTGACCCTAACATGCCCTAATGATCTCTAATGCCTTAATGATAAATCAAATTGAATTTCCAAAAGCCGTCTATGCTTGTCAAATGATTTGTAGTCTGTCAGTCCACTTCTGACTGGGAATCCTGCATATCACCGACGCTTGCCACTGTCGTCACTACGGTTTTTGGTCCTCAGGTACCGCCTTCCTGCACACCAGAGCGGTACACTCCCTTCATAGCACCGACAGCGATGTCTCGATATGAAGGCATTCGGCAATGTGGGACGAGCGCGACCTTGCGACCTGACGGCCAGATCCCAAGTGGTTGGCAGACACAGCTCTGCACGGCGAAAGAAGTGAAAGCGAGATAATGGCTGAATCTGTAAAGAGTGTAAAGAGGTAGTTCGCTCTTTGCTGGCCCCGCGGCCCATGATGCCTAAGGACGGCTAGTCATCAATTTCAATAAGAACCTGAACCCTATGGTGCTGCATTTCTCTGGCTTCGCATACAGCATGGGTGAACTTGACAAACTTGACAGCACAGTTTCAGTTTGTGTCAGGATGCTGCAGTGAGATTGTGTGAACACAAAGCCAATAAAGCAAAGATTCTTGAGTTTTACCATGTTTCACCATGTTTCACCAAGCTCTCCACAAGCTCCACAAGCTCTCCACATTTCAAGATATTTCAAGTTTCAAGTGCTGAAACTCTGACGGGATGGGAGCCCATCTCAGGCGAGCCTGAAGGCTTGATCCAGATGATCCAGCCAGACAAATCATTGAAGGCACTGGTGCGCAAATCGTGTTGTGCTGTGTGCTAGGCTGTGTGCTAGGCTGTGTGCTAGGCTGTGTATGCGCATTGATATTTTTCGAAAATTCTATTGAATGCCTTGTCTTGTGGACGTTTTTTGCAGTTTTCATACCATGACTCACTGAGGCTGAGACGCAGAGGTTCAGACTACAACCTATGCATGACGACGAACCAGCTGCGCAGTTGGATGGAACAATTGTGACTCTACAGGCACATGGCCACATGGCAAGCCGAAATGGGCCGAAATCATTCAGCTGTCACTTGGGGCGCAAATTGCGGAGAGAGATACAAGCGGGCAAAGAATACCCGCCAAAAACATCCGAGAATCCAGTCACTTCCATTGACGTTTTTTATTTATATTGTTTTTTCTATGTTTTTTCCCCTCTCATTGCTGATAGTAGTGGCACGGTGTCAATGACATCTTGTGTCAGGGCCGTCTGATGGAAGCCACCTATGGTTTCACGAGCCAAATCATCGGCATCCTCCCAGAGCGTTGCAGACCCCAACGTGAGATCCGATGCCTCGCACCGCTGCTTCGTAGATCCAAAGATGAGGCATCCATTGGCATTCCACTCATGTCAGTGGAATCTGAGTACCACGTGAATGATGTTAGTATGTGTAAGTATTGTGTGTCTATCAAGTCTCTAGGCCTCTAGGTATGTGTGAGTGATGTTTCATTCTGGCTTGCAGCCATCCGGTGGCAGGATATGGGCCAATGTGACATCGCTGATGCTGAGCTTCACACAGTCAAAGGGAAAGTTAGCTAGCTAACTTATGGTAGTATACTAGTTGGGGTCAAATTCTATACACCCGGAGCGTCATCATATGATGTCATATGTTCTTGTGAAGCACAAGCCTGAATTGACTGCTTTGCTGCTTTGCTTGGCATTTATGCCATGTTAGCCTTTTTTTCGCCTTGCAGCAGACTGCTAGTTTAGTCGCCCCCTCTCGGATTGCTATTTTGTGCAAGGATCAAAGTATTGCATTGACATTGAAGACTGACGGAAAGATCACCGTTCATGGCGGCAATGTGCACTTAGTGGACCAGATGCTTTTATGCAGGGCCATTTTGTTTTGTTGGTTTTTCGGGTTCAAGAGAATCCTGGCGCTGTTTTCCTGGCGCTATTTTTTCCATGTTTCCGTATTCACTTCGTTTCGTTCAAAGCATTGGCACCGCCCATGGGTGGCACAAGGTCTTTGCAGTTCTCTCCTTGTTCATTCTGCTCTACACATCTCTATATATACAGATCTCTGCATCACAATTTGTTTGAAATTAGCAGCCTTTTTCTTTCAAAGCAACCCAAGGAGAACCCTTTTCAAACGCCCACGGCCAGTAGTGGTGTACAGGTAGGATGTCAGCTTCAATTTTTCCTTTTAGCTTCTTAGGAAAGGGAACATGCGCATCCTTCCGCAGAAGAAGAGGGGCATCCTGAGTTTGGATGGCATTCATTTTTACGTTGGAAATGACACGCCGCTGGTCTGCGTATCAGCACCATCAGCACCATTCAGCACCATTCAGCAACTGCACTGCGCCACAACTGGGCACCCAGCCACGGTTGGCCACCAAGGGCTCCAGTGGAGGTTTCCAACAGCTTGCAAAAGAGTGACGACCAGCAAATCACCGATGAGAAGAAGAAAGAAATTTTGCAGTTCCATGGTGAAATTTGCTCTTACAGGATCTGTGGATATTTGTAGTGTTCCGTGGTTTATGTGAGGGATAGCTCATGTCTTTTTCAATATATATATATAGACCTTCTTTGACATGATTTTTCTAGGGGTTGTTCCATTTGTTTTGTCAGCGTTGCATGCTTTCCAGCCTGTGTTTATCATCGATTATGATTGTTTTTATAGCCGTGATGATCCTGAGGATTTTTGCTCCACAAATTCGGAATACTGCAGTTGCCTGCAGACAGGGCAGCATTGTTTTGCTGGAAGGATCGCTCAACTGGTTCCTTAGCTACAGACTTGAGAAAAGTTGAGTGGGTTGAGTCATGTTGTGAGTCACTTGATACGACTTGACATGACTAATTGAAAACAATTGAGTCTCTGTGAATCTCCTTGATCTCTCAGAAATGTCTATCCGTTCAAATTTCCAGAACCTTTGTGCATCGATGTGTGGCCAAGGGTCTCCTCACGGCCTCTCAACACCAAGCAAGCAATTGCTACCCTCCCGAAAGGCGAGTCACTGCGAGCGAAACGACAAAGATTGGAAGATTTGAAACTTTCACTGAAACATTTTGAAACATTGTCGACTTAGATTTCAGAAGATTTCAGATACACGATTTCATGATATTTCATGGGCTTCTGTCTGATCGACAAGATCTTCCAGGCTTTTGGCCTCGTCGACGGGAGACCTTCTTCGCAAGAGGTCGCCAAGAGGTGGGGCACGAGATGGCACAAGATGGCACGAGGGAAACGAGAACACGACAGAACACGACAGAACACGAATTCATCGGCAAATGCTGACTCAATGACGACATGTCGCAAATAATGACCTAATCAAGATTAATCAAGTTTGCATGTTAAAATTCCTGGGAAAGGATGAGAAAGGAAGGTTGTTGACGGTTGCTGCACGTGGCATCAGCAATTCACTGAGGAACGCCGGAGAGTTGACATCGACGTTTTCGGCCGCATCTTTTGCCCAGAAGGCGCCCGTATGGCCGGCCTGAGATGGCCTGATGGCCTGATGGCCTGATGGCCTGAGACGAGTGTGCTCATGATATGTTCATGATACTTATGAAATCTATATGAAATCTATATGAAATCTATATGAATTATGAACTTATGATGGGCAAACTGCGGCTGAGCAGAATATGGTTCAAGCATGATCTTGAATCAAGAAATATGAAGCCTCTTTCACAGAAAGACGGGAAAAGGCCGTATATGAATTTCTGATAATGTTGGAGGCATGAGATATAATGACGCGCTGTGCTGCATGGTCAGGAGCAGATAGGGGCAGTGATGGTGGTGGATATGTGGACCTGAGCGGTGTGATTTTCATTCGAAGTACATCGCCACCAAAGGGGAAGCCTTTGGATCCCGAGTACGACGACCTGAACCTTGGCTGGAAAATGCTGGACGGCTGTGACATGCTGTGACTGCCAATACTGAGTCAGCGATGGATTAAGATTCTTTATAAAGATAGCCAAAGATATAGTCAATGCAGAGTCACAGGGAGTTGTCCTGTGGTTACTACGTGGCCCGGGCAAATGTCATTTCGTGTCATTTCAAGTGTATGAGTATGAGTCTGTATGAGTCTGTTGTTATGGCGTTTATGGGGGCCGGAGGCGGTTGCAATGCAATCGCACGGTGGTAGATGTCGTGCCCTGGCTGTCAATTGTAGGATCTGACTGTTACAGCGGTTGTGCTGAAAAAGTGTTGAGATATGTGAAGGACTCACATTTTTTTCTTGCATCGGACACTTGCCAAAGCATCCTGTTTAGAATCAAGATGGATAAAAAACTGAAAATATGTCTTCGGTTGGCTCGAACATGGGTTGGACTGCTTGGAGAGCCGAGGCATCTTCGTCTTTCAAAGGGCATGAGCTACTGGAGAAATTCATCCGACGATGCAACGCCTACGAATCTCAACTTCTCCACTCGCTTGTTTGGCGGTTTCCGCTGATTGCCCCAGGTACCTCCAAGTATAAACCAACGAATGGATCGAAACAGAAATAAACAGAAATAAACAGAAATAAAAAGCATGAAGATGAAGGATTTCGAAGATTTCGGAAGGATATCGAAGGATATGAAGGATCGCGAAAATTTCCAAAGGGATGAGGGATGTGAGATGCCGGTGCCGGAGATGTGTTTCTCCATTCTCCAAGGAATGGAAGCTGCTGCACCACACCATGGCAGCGCAAGCTGGAAGAACGATGATGACTCCTGGGGTTGGCAGACTGGACGAGGAAGTCCCCACTCGAGGCCGGATATAGAAATGATTGAAATGATGCAAAAGATTGGATTCAGCAACGAAAATACCATAATTACATTAGAAACAGCATGATTCCATCTGATTCCCACTATATATTACAGATTATGTACTGTAAAATCCATCCATGACTCACGACCTGTGCCCTATAGTTAATGTATTGATGTGTTTGCGCTGAAAAGGGCTCCCAACATGTCCATCACTGAACGCCTTCGGGTGCACCCAATCTTCCAATGTCCTGAGGCTGGGACAGAGGAAATGAGTTCAACTTGAGCAAGCACGAAGACAGACACTTTGGATTGGACATGTCAGACTATTTCCCCTGATTCATGGTTCCTGTCATAGTATTCTATGTATAGTATGTCCAATAGTTTCTTTAGGTGCATCATGGTGCATCAATTCCCGCAGTGCAGGAGTTTTGAATTTTGGTAAGCGGTGAGATGCAGGCCTTGCAAAGAAAGCATCATTGAACTGCAAGGCCGTGAGGTGAGGCCTTGTAAAACATGATGAAAGACAGTGGAACATAGTGGAACCTGGTATGAGAATGGCTGATTATGGCTGATTGTTCCAGTTGCCAAGGACTGTGGAACAACGTTTTGAGAGCTCCTCTAGCTGAGTTTGCTCCTCAAGAAACGTTTGTCATTTGTATGGCAACCACGCTGTCGAGCATTTTGTTCCAATATTGGCGCGGGATTGCCATTGCTTCTTCCATGTTCTCCAGGCACTACGGGATCTCTACGTTTCACACGTTGCTGCATCTTTCCTGTCCAATGTTAGACGAGGTGCCTTGATCCACACAAAGTCGGCATATGCAGTTTGGTCCAACTTCCGCAGATTGTGCTTGGTAATTGTCGCACTTGGGCAGTCACAAATTTTTAAGCCTTGTGTTTCTTCAGTTGGAAGTTTACGTGAAACATTTCAAAATAAGATTGATCAGATTGATGTCGCTTCCCCGCACAGCCAGGACGGTGACCTGATGGCGATAGGGAGATTTCAAGACATAGAACAGCCAGAACAGCCGGGCATACAGTCTCTTTACTGTAATTTGCTTGATGCTTGGATGTTTGAGGTGCTGAACTGCGTCAGAGGCCTCTCTGACGAAGACCGGCGGCACATCAGAGGTCTTAAGCGATCTCGGGAAGGACCGCGGTAAAGAATCTTTCAGATTGAATCTTATTGAATCGTATTCGCATGTGTCGATATGTTGCGATATCCATACGGTGCCGAACCGCATGTCACAAAATCAAAGCAAGGAAGTCTTGATATTGTGATGACCTGTGCATGCACATTAAATACATGTGTACATGCGCATATATGAATAACTGGATGCTTGTGTGTGTGTGTCAATGAGTTCATTTAGCTATGTTTTTGAACGCATTTGGGCGCACGGGCAGCTCACTTTCATTGACAATATTGAACGCGTCCTCCGGGTCAGGAGATTGGGAAAGGACGCGGCAACCACGCTTGACCTTCCAATGCTTGCAAGAACTTGCATGCGAAAACTGGCCGCAATTAAAAAGTTGCGGTGTTTGCGATTGGGAATGGTCACAGCAAAGGAAAGCAAAGATCTTGCAACATCTTTCAGCATTCTCCTTTGGTTTGAACTCTTCTTTGCAATAGCCCTGACTAGTCCTGGTGTCTTTTGGGTGTGCTGATTGGCCGCTGGCTGTATTTGGTCCCATGTCCTTTTGCCCCTTTCTCAAAGTAGACTAGGCTTTAGCATTTGTGTTGGCTGCCTTGGTGTCCCTGTTTTAGCGTATCCACTCCATGTTCCCCTGCATATGTCTCAAGGAGATCTCTGATCAGATGCAACTTGGCAGCAAAACAAGAGCAGCCATACCCCGCAGCCTTTAAGGTGGTCACCACATCCACAGACTGATGGGTAAGATAATGTAAAACTTCAAGGTCTGTGGTAAAATTCCGATTGACTTTAACTCTCTGCGGGGTTCGCCAGGTTCCACCGATCACTTGGCGCTGATTGCTGCAATTTGCATGTTAAAACTGAGGTTTGATCACTGGGACTTCTACGCTCAGATGCAGGGTTTGCTGAAGAATCTTGGCAAAGGAAAAAGGCCCGGATTGTTTTCCACACTTGTTAAAGGGTTCGTAGATCTTCTTGGTTGGCTGATTTTGCTAATTCTCTTAGGCGATATCCACGAGGATTGTCCCGTCAGAGATGCAGACATGCAGGTCTCTTATTTTTCCGGGCCAGTCTTCCATTTCTCCTATCGCCTTGGTGTCAATTTTTTTTCGCAACAAACTCTTGTTCTTAGTCAGGTTTGGAGAGCGCTTTGGAGATTGCTTGTGTCAATCCTTGAGGAATGACTTCCGCGCTCCCAAGACAATTGAGCACCTGTTCCCCCGGCGCCTGAACAGATGGCAAGAAAAGCTCATTAAGGAGCCTGGACGCGGAGATGAAACGTGCAATATACTTGCGGTATCTTGCGGTCATTTTTGGTTCAGAAGATTTGATGAACTTAATGTTTCAGGTTTTCTGGACACAGTGTTAATTCAAACCGGTTTTTTGGCGCTGGCCTAAAGGACAATGTGCCAGAGAAGGACTTCTCCAAGTTCGAAGAAATTCGCCAGTTCTTCTTTTTGTACGAGACAACTGGGAGCAACATGATGCTTGCCTTTCATGGTGTCATCGGCTGTCATGAGATTGATATAGATGGATATTATGACAACAGGTCCCATATTCACTTGACGAGACGGTTTGTGCGCGATGTTCATCCGTGGCTGTTTTCGGAGTGTGTTTGTCCATTCAAATGCTGAGGACCCATTGCAGCTTGATGGGCTTTCGACTTAGTTGAAAGATGACGATGAAGCTCGTGAAATCACATGAAATCATATGAAATCACGGCGCATGTCACGACAAATCATGTGAAATGCACTAAGCTCAGGTTCTCAGGACTTGTTCACCACCACAGGCAAGTGGTACTTCCCTGACGCGGAAGATGTGCAACAGCAACTCTTCGAAAACATCGGGTGGCTCTGGGACAGGATGCTTGGCAGATTTGGACAGCATCCCAGGGCATAGCGGCATACCCAAGTCCCGATAGCATCGTTCCAGTCGAATCACTGGATCCTGAAATGGAGGTACTGTACCGTATAAAGCCATATATTTCGGGGGCATATCCCCTTACATAGGCCTTATATAGGCCTTATATATGGTAGGTACCTCCAATTTAGGTTCCTGAAATGGCCATCGAAAAACGCCACGATTTGCAAGAAAGCGAAGATAGGATCTGCCACGTCCAGCCACAACATCTCACAGATGAACAAGTTACAAAGTCCAGTATGAAAGGTACCCAGGTCGATCATTCAGCCGTGCTGCCTCATAAGGAACATCTACCACTACATCTCAGAGCGTCAGACGGCATTCTTTCCCTTCATCGAAGATTTCGACATTCAGGCAGACCCTGTACAAAGGAATGTTTGTGTGGATTTCATAAGGATGATCATATATGATCATAAGGTTGTATCATGTTGTATCTATTTCCACTAGTTTGTTTGCTCCCAGTGGCTGACACCTATTAGACCTATGCTTGCAAAAGTTTAAGGGCTGGTCAATGCTGGTCGGGCTCATTGCCGATTTTCCAGAGATCAACGTAGCAAGTGCAGCAAGTGGAAGCAACCTTTCGAAATCTGCAGTTGTCACAGTCATTCCATGTCATTCCATGTCATTGCACCATATTGCACCTGTTTCCTGCTCGCTTTGAGCCACGAAGAGAAGGTCACGTTGAAAGAGACCAACCTTTCAGAAATTGAATGAAATTGATGGTGCAGCAGATGATTTAATGGTTTTAAATATTTAATAGCTCCTCACTTACTTTTCATAATCTTTTCATTTCACTTGAGGCAAATGTGGATTGGAAGGAGCCATTGCCTGGTCAAATACGACCGGATCCGCCTGATGAGCTGATCATGACAAAGCCACTTATGGACGCAGACGGAAAAGTCTTTGGAGACTTTGGGCATGCAGACAGAATGCATTCGTTGCATTGGTTGCCTGTCAAAGTCTGTCAAAATCTGTCAAGCTGCCATTTTTTTCTTCGCCTGTTATGGGTTGATTTGTCACGGTAGTGAGTGAATAGCAAGATTTGGACAAGGTTCCAAGGCTGACGTTTGGCTGGAATGTATTCACAAGGGGAATGGGCTTGCAAGCCTTGCAACACTGAATGCCGCGCATAGTGGCAAGGATCCAGGGACTATGATGAAGTATCGTGCACAAGCAATTCACATGATCTACCCGCACATTGAAGATTTGTATTGCATCTTGCTCAAACTAGACTGAAGGAAGTTTGGAGACATAGACTAGAGAGTCTTATATGTGTTATGAGAGCATGTGCGCGCACTTCTTGTTGGAACATGTTGTGGTGTGCAACGCAATTTGCTTGAAGCTTCGCGGCTTCGCATTCGCACAGCTCAGCCTCACAGCAAGCGAGGTCTTGTGTACTCAGCTTCTGGCTACAACAAGGGCAAAGAGTTGCTGAAGTCTTCCTTTCATCTAGCCACTGGTGCAAACTTAGAATTAGAATGAATTAGATATCAGATTCGTGACATTTTTGCCTTTTTGGCCCTATGTTCTGTGTTTTTCCGTCCTGTTTTTGTTTGCGGCATTTAGGTTTGGCCCCAGTTGGTGGTAGATCCAGACCGAGCTCCCGTTATTCGATCCTTGGATGCACCACATCCGTTGCCATCTACGCAGACTCGCTTTGACACATTGCAATGTTTGTAGGATATTGCACCGCTGCATTCAGCTGCTGTCTCTTTCAGATGCTTTCAGATGCATCTTCAAAGCATTTCAGGATATGTCACCCTTGGCATTTTCAAGAACGAGACCAACAAAGAAGGTGGGGCTGCAGACGGCAGGATGCTGCAGGGTTTCGGAATTCTCCACGGCCTTGAAGTTTGAAGGTTTGCATTCTTTAAGGATTGGAGTCGCCCCTGTTTTACGTAAGAAAGGTGCTAGGAATTGAGATGAACTGAGAAACTATAGTTAACAGTTTTCCTGTCCAATCCACTTTGAGCATTTTTTAACATAAATTGGGTGAAACAAGATGCCCCAACGTTGTTGAGGTGAGAAACGGGTGTGGCAAGGAAAGTGTGGACAAGTAAACGGAAAGATTTGCGAGAAAAGTACCCGTATGAGGACGTGTGTTTGTGCGAGCATGCGGATGTATTTTGTCACATCTTTTCTACATGTAACATACGTATATGTATATACTTACAAATATATCATACTATATGTTATATACTATATCTAATTATTCATGTTCATGGCGTCTTTTTTCATGGCAATGCTATAGGATATTTGGATATTCGGATACTTGAGCTGGGATTGTCCAGGCTCGGAGCTGAACCAGCTCCAAAAGCGCTTAATGGACGGGGCAGATTTGGGATGTGGGATGTGCTGAGATGTGCTGAGATGTGCTGGGCATTCTGAGCATTTTGAGCATTGAGCATGGTATGGCCACTACATATGGCCGTGTATGGCTATGACGCGTTGCACCGTTTGGTTAGTCCAAATCAAGTGACGTGCATCGCCTGGGACGACATGTTTGTTGAAACTCTTTTGATGAGCTGATGAGTGTTCTTCAATACTTTCCTCAAACTTCGAACATGAGTTGCTTGTTTGACCAGAGTGTGCTCTGTACATTGCTCATTCTTAACAATTCACATGCCATGCGTAACATTAGCCTGTGTCACATGAATGCAATTCACATTGTAGTTATTGTATGTTATTGTAGTGTTGGGCCACTGCGCAGACACCACATGAATCGCATCCTCCAGGAGCTTCACGACGGCAATGAGTGGGAGCTCCTTGGTCACAGAGAATGAATCAAGGGGAAAGTCAAGCTCCTGATGATAAACCACCAGCTCCTGATCAAATCGGTATAAGCGGAATACTTTTTGAATTCCCTTTGGCTGCGCTTGGTCAGTTTGTATTTTGGTGTGTTTTTACACAAGGATAGGGATGTCCATGACTGCAGGGCATACCACCTTCATATCAGCTTTCAAAGTTGCCATGGGTGGCCAATACTGATGTCCAGTCACAGGAAGCGACTTCAGCTCAAGACACAAACTGTGGCACTATGGGCGGGGGGTTGAAGGGGTAGTTCAAATATTTGGTGATCGTTCCATGTGTGAAAGCACAGCATTTGTCAGCGTTTCATGGGCTAAACTCTAAACTTCATGAAAAGCTCCGATGAAACTAGCATGGACCACGCCATGAATCAAGGCTGGTGTTTGACAGCACCACCATCAATGCCCGCAATGGCCTTCGTCTCCCCTACAGCGACAAAGCATCAATGGTTGTGAAAGATCCGGAGGACCGAGAGAAGATCAAAAGGGGTGAACTGTCCAAGAACTCTGCCTTCAAGGCGTGCGCACCAGCGTCAAAAAAAATAAGCTGAAATATCGGAGAAATATGCTGAACCCATGTGAAGCCGTTGAGTCAACATGCATTGAATCACGTTGAGTCAACATGCATTGAATCAATTGAATCAACCATGACTGCTGGGGCTCCCTAGCTCCTCTTGAAGAGATGTCCTGAATGATTGTTTCTAGCTCCTTTATAAAAGGTCTAGATGAGCATCAGGCATTTGCATATCATCCCTGGTTTGTTTCAGAAGCTGCCGAAGGTTCGCGTGACAGAGGAGCGCCCATCAAGACCTGTGGGGAGAATTGAGTTCAAGTTCGAAAAGGACTGGGAATTGCGGTCGTGGTGACGCTATGTCAAGCTAAGATATTTGAATTGACTTTTGTGTTTTGAACGTACCAGCTTTCCATGGGAATCATGGGGCAGGGTGCTAAGAGGATTTTTTGCAAGCTGCTCTTTGATCTTTGATGCTGAGTCACAAGAATGTTTGTGCTCAGAATGCTGATGATGTCGACGTGCTCGTTGATGCGAAGTGGGTGGCAAATGAAAAGAGTTACGAAAAGTGTGAGCTACCTGGCAAGAACATGGCAAGAGCTTCGGGCAGATTTGGAATGCTCTTGGCAATTGATGCTGTAGGAAGAAATGTGCATTATATATCATCACAGGTTGCGCTCGTTTGCGCTAAGGTGGATCAAGATGGGCTCCTGCCGGCGCGACCAGAGCAGCGCACAAGCTACGGAGGTGACACCGTGGCAACTGGGCCCCGATGTCATGTCGATGCTGCCGAAGCGGCCAGGCCAGGGCTGCATGGCCAGATCTTGGGTGGGGTATGGCTTTGGTGTTGCAACTTCCGAAGTTCGGTTGATATAGGTAGCTGCAGGTAGCTGCAGGTAGCTGCAGGTAGCTGTAGTTTTGTCCCCTTGCTGACTTTGCTTGGGCTGCAAGCCATCCTGGGACGGCAATGACGGCAGCTGGCACTGTGGCACAGGTGAGAGATATTATCGAGAGTACGAAGATGATCAAGGAACATTCACCACGCACGTGCCGTATTCGAACATTGTGAAGTGCACGTTCCTTGGACTAGCCTGGGCTTTCTATTTGCAGCCACCTTTGCTCACACACACATTTGTTCTTTCATGAGGAAGAGAAAAAATATCACGGCAAGAGACCCCAAACAGTGTAGGGGGAGTAAAAAGATCATGTATTATAATGTTAATGATGATGATGATGATGATGAGGAGGAGGATGATGATGATGATGTTAATGTTTATGTTAATGTTGCTGATGATGCTGATGGTGATGATGATGATGATGATGACGATGACGATGACGATGAGGATGAGGATGAGGATGAGGGTGATGATGATGACGATGGGGGTGATGCTGATGATGATGATGATGATGGTGGTGATGATGATGATGGTGATGATGGTGATGATGATGCTGATGATGAGAGGAAGATGAGAGGAAGATGAGAGGAAGATGAGAGGAAGATGAGAGGAAGATGATGAGAGGAAGATGATGATGTGGATGTTGAGGAGGAGGAGAAGGAGGAGGAGGAGGAAGATGATGATGTTGAGGAGGAAGACCGATCCCAAGACCGGGAAGCACACTTTGTGCGAGCCTGCACAGTCGAAATGCACAGGGACATTTCACAGGAGCCAGCTTATGTGGAAACTTTCGGGAAAAGTGCCGTACGCCAAGTCCGCGACACCCGTTTTGTGCGAGCCTGCGCAGTCGAAATGCACATGGACATGTCACAAGAGACATTTTGTGCGGAAATTTAGAGGGGAAAATGCCAAACGCCACGGATACCACCTCGATTGAACACTGGGCCTTAACACCGTTACTGCAAGAACCCCTCAGTGTGGACACGCTGTTTGGGAAAAAAAGTGCTGCATGAGTCACCAAGTCGCCGGCATCGCCAGAAACGACTTCAAAAACTCACGTTTTGAGATGGTTCAGGCTTACGCCTGCTGAATTCGCGCGTAATTGGGACGACAAGTTATCAGAAGAGCTGGAAGCTCTGGCCCAGGAGCAGGAATTTGACCTCCAGAGGCGAACCTCGGCAAGGTGTGAAGAAGAGCAAGATGTGTGAACGTTGCAGGTCCAGCACCATCCAGCGGCTAGCGCCATTGCAGCCATGTGTTTCGCTGAAGCTGAAACTGTTTGCACGGCTTCCCGCAATCCATGACTAAGGAATTGCTGGGCAATGGGTGTGCATCACAGACGAGCAAGACCCTTGCCACGAAAATTTGGTCAATTTTGTTGCTTTCATTACACAGTGAAAACGGAAGCAGAGGAAGAAGAGAAAGAATAGACAGAATGAAAAAGACAACCCTAATTTGAATTTTTCAAAGTCTTATTTTTCCGCAGGCCATTTGGCGGGCACCTGCCTCTCAACAGTTTTCTGACAAGTTCGCTGATTGGGACTGGGGCGCGAGGACCCGAAAGACATTTGGCAGCAAGTGATCCTACTGCTGAACCATATTCAATTCGGACACGCGCGCGCAAAAATGATAAAAATGATTTGTTGAGCATTGGGGGCTACTGAATCTTTCGTGGTGCGGGTTGCTGGTAGCTTGTGGGGTGCTAGAATCCCCTTTAAAGGGCAGCCAACCCGGATAAGTCGATGGCGCAATCCTGTGCGAAATCATGCAATAACATATATATACTCATTATTTTATTTCTTCTCTCCATGCTTGCATCAGTCTGCTGGCAGAAGCGATCATGAACATTGGCCACACTTTTGCAGTGACACCGGTGACAAGACTCAACTGAGTTTGCAATGTTCTTCAGCAAATTCATTGTTATGAAGTAGACTAAGTAGATTAAGTAGACAATTCAGGTTGTGAAAGCACGATTCCAATGGCAGATTGGATAGATTGGGCAGGCTAGCTCGGCCTGCTGAGTTGATCTACATCCACAAGAAAGGCAAAGTGCTGTGTCTTGACTCATCTTGACTTTCAACAGCTCGACTCGGCTGCTACAGCTCAAGTGCTTGCACGATCTTGTACGGAATTATCGTGCGCCCAGGTTAGATGGACCTGATGATGTTACAGCGCCTTTGCTACGGGTCTTGAACGATTGCAAAACCGAACCAGATGATTTTGCCATCATGTTGCCTGGCATGCACCATTCCGCCCAGCACCCGCCCATGAAGCGTTGTGCGAGGAGCATTGGTTTGTTGATGTTTTTTGCACCTGGTCCAGCTGGTTTAGATTCTCAGATGTTTCATGATTGTCATGTGCTCAGGCCGGTCTATGACAAGACCAAGATGGAGAGATTTCCATGAGCTGAGCCTTTTCTTGGCAAAGATTCAAACCAGCTACAGGCGATTTGCGGGCAGTGATTTGAAGGGGAACATGCTGAGAAGTAGTGAGAGAAGGCGAGCGCATGCGTCAGTCTTCCCATGCACATCCGGAGCAACCACTCACACAAATGCAAGTATACGCAGAAAATCGCTGAACGCACATGAGGGCACAGTTGTTTCATGTGTTCTATTCAGTTCAGCTTGTTCACAGTCTCAGCCTCAGCATGTAAAGATCGAGTCACTCTTCGCTCCTTGCTTCACAAGTCAGACTTGAGCTGGTACGTTAGCGTTTGCATGGTGGTGTGCCCTTCATGCAACCTTATGACTTGGCTGAGACTAGCTAGCCGATAAAAGGAGTGCCACAAAGTGCCACAAAATAAAGTTTCCAATGATGTCCTCTGTGTAATGATGCTCATTGAATAACTACCGCAGAATACAGCAGAGGTAGACATGGTCAGCCGGGAGGGCCTTTCCTCACGTTGTTGTTCATTTAGTTCAATGTAAGAGACCTCGCAAGAATGGAAAACCTTATATTCTGCATTGATCAAGCGGATAGACTTGAACGCAAATTGATTCTGATGGAGCATTTGTATTTGAAGATACTGTGAAGATACCACGAAGATGCCAAGACTGGATGCAAATGGTGCCACAAGACTTTGGAGGATGTGTGCTTTCCATTAGGCCATGCATGCCAAAGAGAAGCTGGCATCTCAGAAATTGATGTCAAGTCGCACATGGAGTTTGCTGTCTAAAGGACCACATATTTCGACGTCGATGCTGATGGTGTGCATTTGTTGAAGCCTATCTTCCAAAAATCATGCCGGCTGCATAGCTGACGCCAGCTGCCAGCGTCCAAGTTCTGCAGGTTTAGCTGCAGGAAGCCTGAAGGCTGAAGATCCGGGGACGCAGAAATTGTGGAGAGACTTTGCACTGCACTGCAGCTCTGCAGGCTTCATTGTAACTCCTCCAGCGTCCAAGTTCTGAAGGCTTCTACCATCTCATGGCGCAGCTGCGGAAATCCAGCGTCCCCTTGGGAGGTCAGACATGGTCAAAAATATCAAAAAACATCAAAAACGCCCATGCAGACCATGCAGGCCATGCAGTTCCACCGTTGCATGTGATAATCATGTGATATGTCCTGATATGTTTTTCGACAGTCTTTGTTGTTCTTCACTTTTCCTCAGTGCTTTTTTGGTCTGAAGTACCCGCAATGCTGGCAGGCCTTTCTCAAGCAACGGGGTCTTAGTGCTGCGGGCGGCTGCTTGTTTGCATTTTGCCGGAATTCGTTTCGCTTAGTAGGCCACTGTGGACAAGATGAAGATACTCAAAATATTTTGCTCTGGCGGTGTGTCTTTTGAATCCCTCAACGACTGAGATTTGGCACGGTGAGCATGGTTTGAACAGTTCGATGGGTGCTGCAGGGCGAGCAATTCCTTCGGACAAGTTTCACCTGCGCTTGGTTCACATCTCCTCGCAGTGCAACAGAATTTAGATGAATTTAGGGGGTATAGTCAGCGATAGTCCAAACCGGTCCAACTGCATCAGGAACATGAATGTAATTGCATGTAGTATGTACTGTAGGGTGTTGTCATGCAAACAAGTTCTAAGTTGCTCTGTGAGGGGTCAGCTAACACTTTGCGCTGAAAGTGCCTAAGCTACATTCGCGCCATTGTGAGCAAAAGCCAAGATAGTCAAGGACAGAACCGGCATAATGTTTGGTGTAATTAGTACGGGAATCTGACATGCTTACAATTACTTGCATATCTTGTTGCCGCTTGCTGTGTGTTGTTGCTTTGGTGCCATTACATAGCCGGTGATGCTGCAGCTTGAGTGATTGACTCATTGCCGACCATGCAGACTGAAAGCAGCCGGAGTAGAAGGCAGCAAGAATCACTGACAGATCACTGACATGCCAGCAAAAACAAACGAACGAACGAACTAACTAAAAAAACCGCTCCTTCGGGCAAAGAAGTGCAAAGGTTGCAAATTCTGACAAATCCTGTGGCTACGAGAGTACGCACTGGAGTGCTGTTGGCCATCAAGAGGTGCGGTTGATTGGTGTCCGTGTTACTGAAAATATTCACTTGGATTGTCTTGGGCCGATTTGCCAATCACACTTCCATGGGTACAGTCGCAGGTCAAAAACAATGTCGAAAGACTTTGGAGTGATGCTGATCTTCTACGGCATGCTGCTGAGTCAAAGAATTTAAAAGAACGCATCTCAATTGAACAGCGTCGAAAACCTCTAAGTAAGCATTATATATAAACGTTAAGACTAGCTTACTTCTGCGAAAGTAAAAACCTCACGCGCGCAAGCTGCGCGAAAGCACCCGTGAAAGAGGGGTTTAAAGTTCTAACCGCGAAGGCTCCGCGAAAGCAAACATGATGAACTCAGCGTCCGCGAAAGCTAAACGTGTGGTCGCGAAAGTACCGCGAAAGCTCCGCGAAAGCCACGTGGGATTATAACGAATTTGCAAAAGGGTTTTCAACACCGCTCAATTGATTCTCATTGTAGGTTAAAGTATGTAGGTATGAACCGCTGGATTCATCCACCATTCAACTGGTCACCGGTGCTTTTGATACTCATTATATCTCATTATCATGATTCACAATAATATATATATATATTATAATATACTATATATGTGTGTGTGTTATACCATTACTTAGTGTGTATACATATGCAATTATATACATATGTACATATTTACTATATACATTATAATATATATATATACAGTATATACATGTTCATATCATGTTAATATGGTTGAAGGCTTGCCAGTGGCTGAGGTCTTTTCCTTGTAGTTTGTGGAAGTGCTGGAGCCTGGTTGCACAGTCCAGAGCCCAGCCTGTCAAGTTCACAACAATCACCATTTTCATAATGTGTTTACCCCACATGCATAAGTGAGGAACTAGTTTGGGTCATAGCGCAGACACAAGCACAGCGACACCATGGACAAAGAACATCAAACAAGGAGTCTCGTCTAGGCAACTTGCACCAACATGATCTAGACGTCTTATGTTGTCATGTATGGGTCAGACCTAGCACGCCATACGACTGAGATTTCGAGAAGAAGGCGATGCACTCATTGTACGCTGGCCAGCCCCTTAGAGGGGAGATTGATGACACGGTCCTTTGATGGGGCATCATTTGGGGAGCACAGCGTCTCATTGGTGAAGAGGATGTTTGCTTCATTACCTTGCGGTGCCCGAAAACGTGTAAAAAGATGTCGAGCATCTAGACTTCGCTTCGATTCAACCACAAGGCAGGCAAAACAGATAAATATACTGATATGATATGATTTACTGTGTGTAAAAAAAGATATATTAAGATTACATGTATTACATCTATTTAATTAGTTTGAATGCAGCATACAGGAGCAAAAAAAAAAGGCAGCCACCAGGACCTCACCGCACTGAGGTTTGGGGGGGTCACTTGCCATGCTGGCATGCGGCCTTTTTGCGGCCAGCAACATCAAGGTGCGTCATGCCGTCATGCTATTCCGCACCACGAGCTTTGGCACTGGATTGCATGGCCAAAGAGTTCTTGTAATATTTGTAATTGAAGAGATTCAAAGCAGACTTTATTCGTCGGAATTGGCAGCTAGTCAGATATGGAGATACGGGAATCATGACTATCCATGAATATCAATAGTAAGATGAATTGCTTCATGGCTGCGCAGTGTCTGCAACCCACAGCTGGTACACTGGCGCAGCTCACCACTTTGAATCGAGTAGTTCACAGAGCATGCTCCATGAGACTTTGGGTCTCAAGCAAATCACAGGCATAGCTGCATAGCTGGTATTATAGCGGAACTTAACGGATCTCTTTAGGATGACTGATTTGTTCCCCACACCATGGATGTCCTCATGCATTTGTCCAGGCACATCTGAAATGAAGACGGGCATCCAATGTTGATGTCCGTTGATACATTCAGATTCTATCAAACATGAATATGTTTAGAATACGTTTAGAATATGTTATATATATATGTTATTTTGCTGATATGTTTTTGCCGTTGGATCTTTGGGTCCCAAGCGCAATCCGGCGTGCCATGGGAGCTTTGTCGAACCTGGATCCTCACAGCATGGCGTGCACTTTGCAGGATGCTCTCTCGGTTTCATGATGAAATTGGATGAAATTGGGGAAGCCGCGCAAGTCATCACAAATTCAACATAATTATACAATCTATTGCTATTGGATGCTATTTGTCCCTAAAAAAGATGCAAAGGGTTTAGCAGAAGTATGGCTAACAGCACGACGTGGTTTTGAAATTGTTTCAGAGATGTCCTCAATGCCAACCGAAAGGAAGCCGCGCACGAACTGATCAGTGTGACAAGTTGCCTGGCGGTACATTGACGATCTTGATGCCCCAAAGTTCCATGTGACACGATTGAAGGCGGTTGTCAAACGTTGCTGAAACTTTTTGGTTTCCCTCAGGTTCTTTAGAGAGAGGGTTCCCCCAGCTCCAGTCCCATACCTTTTGGAAGGTGCATGGATTGCTTTAGCAACTGGTCTTTCCATGTTTTGTGATTTGTTGTTTCTCGGAAAAGTCCTCCTGCGCGTTGCATTTTGCACATAGATCCCGCATCTGCACTTCCCAAAGGCTTTCTGGGCTTGAACGAGGCTTGGCTGATTTGGATTCCCTTTTGAAATCAGGCAGGTAGCATCACTGACTTAGCAGACCACGGTTTGCCGTTTCGTTTTCTCAGCCTGTGACATTCTCAGTTGGATCTTGGTTTGATTTCGTAGGCCATGTTTTTGATCCTCTTGAAGATCCTCTTGGTATGTATGCAACATGAAAACACAACGTATCATGTTTGCGTACAGGCATCGATGTATCATAGCGCTGAATCATGTTGAATCGCTGTGCCATGCTGTGTCTACCTACCTTCGATTATCTTTTTTTCACTGCATGGCAACGATTGTTTTAGGATTTGATTGCTGCCAGACACCTTGACCATTTGCCTGAAGATCCACCTGAACAACCAGAGCCGGTGCCTGCTCCAGAGGTGCTAAGTCACGCTGATCTCTGCTGAACCCATTTGAATCCATGCCAAAATCACCTGCACAGATTCGCAGATCATTCTTGTCCCATTTGATTTCAGCGTCGCAGGCCCCTCAATGCGTGAGAGATGTGAGAAAAAACCATAGTTTTCTTGTGCACAGGTGCACTTGCCTTCAGACGGTCCTATCGGAGCCTCTGCTGCAAGGCAAGCCAAAATTTCAAAGGCCAAACGGGCAACAAGACAGCACCGGCTCAGCCGGCTCTTGCTCGAGCATCCTCCAACTCTCCTTCACACATTTGCATTTCCTTTCCGGCAGACATATTGCCTGAGGGCAGGGAAGACATCTGAAAACACGCATGCCATCGCGTACCACATTTGAGGTTTTCACACATTCAATGTGTGTTGTGTGGTTCCCCTCTTTTTTTCCGTGACCTGTTTGCACGACCATCGCCTTGAGGAGATGGATATCGCCTCATCCCTGACGTACCACTGAGTAGAGTCGACGACTTCAACGGCCCAGCGATGCAACTGAGACTGAGACGACCACAAGCGAAAAAAAAAACCAAACAAACCACACACACAAACTGCACACAAACCACACACAAACTGCACACAAACCACACACAAACCACACACAAACTGCACACAAACTGCACACAAACCACACACAAACTGCACACAAACTGCACACAAACCACACACAAACTGCACACAAACCACACACAAACTGCACACAAACACACAAACTGCACACAAACTGCACACAAACTGCACACAAACCACACACAAACTGCACACAAACTGCACACAAACCACACACAAACCACACACAAACTGCACACAAACTGCACACAAACCACACACAAACTGCACACAAACTGCACACAAACCACACACAAACTGCACACAAACCACACACAAACTGCACACAAACTGCACACAAACTGCACACAAACCACACACAAACTGCACACAAACCACACACAAACCACACACAAACTGCACACAAACCACACACAAACCACCACACACAAACTGCACACAAACCACACACAAACTGCGCACAAACCACACACAAACCACACACAAACTGCACACAAACTGCACACAAACCACACACAAACTGCACACAAACCACACACAAACTGCACACAAACCACACACAAACT